TGACGAACCCCTTATGAATGAAGTTACATAAAACCACGTCTGACTGGACTCTGTAGGACAAAGACTCGAAGCAGTGAAGATATGTCAAGATTCTGCTGTAAGCTAAGAATGAAGAAGAGGACCGTTCTACAAAACTCCTGGCTGAAGAAATTGATCTCAGTCAGTTGAATCATGCTGGTTTGAGACCCGGTTGGAAACCAACATAAAAGATGTACATGCATGCTAAGCACCGATGAGGATTAACTTATCTCAAAGTATGGAATCCTGCACCACAGTCTTGCCACATAACCTGACATTATGCAAAAGAAACATTCATCCAAGACAAGAATGCCATACAGCCAGAATTTGCAACAAGTCCTAATGCAATTCCAACAATCTAGACAATGAAGCAGAATGATAAATCTCCAATAAAAACTGCATCATTTAAGAGAGATATCATGGCAACTTGCAAGGGCACCAGACAAAAGAAGAACATTCTGTGAAGGCCCCGTGGCATAGATTGATTGAAGAGTAAGGCAGTAATCCTTGGTCTATTGTAATAATCAACAAACCATTCCAACAGGCTGATGAATATAAAAAGGCCAGCTGAGCAAGTTATTCAAGTGATAGAATATCAAGGAATCTGTAATAGGAATCCTCATTCACGACATTCCCCAACACAATCGTATCTATTAGGAAGAAGCAGGGAAAGCATGCAGCATCCAGACGACAGTAACGTTTGAGTACAAGTCTATAGAGAGTCAAGACTATCTTTTTTTTTTTTTTTTTTTTACAATCTTGTAAATGATATCAAACTAAAAAGTGGCATCAGGTTGCAACATACTATCCAAAGGTAGCTTGAGCGTAGATACATGTGAGTTATGAACATGCTCAAGAGGACCAACCCACTGTCATAGGATGGAAAAACTGAAAGCCTACGCTTAGCTGGTCGAGTGCTGGAGGGTGATTTCCCAGAAGAAAGACTTGAGCTAACAGTAACAGTTTTACCATTTTGGCGGAGTCCGCCACTTGTTTACAGGCACAGTGAGTACGGTTAAATTGTGTACGTGTTGACGCTATGCGTCGCTGAAAAACTTAGGAGTCGTCTGCGTGTAACAGGGCTACTTAAGGGACATGTAGTGGGTGCGGAGGGTGAGGCTTGGGCGCTATTCTTTTCAGCAAAGGTTTGTGCGCATGCGCGCTGATATGCAAATGTAGGTAAACAGAGGTGAGATGTTTTCTGTAATGGAATCAGCTGGTTGTTTTTTAATTATCTATGGTAGCATGTATACAGGGTGTCCTGAAAATAATGGTGCATGTAAACCCCGCCATTTTCGCCAATTTACTACCAGAATTTACTGCAAATGTTTACACCATCTTCAAGGTTACAATTTAGCTTGAGAATACCGTTTAATTAAGATTGCTTTTTCTAAATCCAGAGATATGTTTGAATGACCGCAAGGCCCCCCCCCAAAAAAAAACATTCTGTGCCACTTTTAGGAAGTGAGTGCTTCAAAGATCAGACAATGCCAGTAAGGCTCTTTTGATAAGATCATAATCCCTATGGGTGTAAGACAAACATTCCATTCACACGACAATATAGGGTTTTGTTCTTATATTGAAACAATTAAATAGTACAGACAAGTTCACTTCTTTAATACTACCTACACCTACTCATCCTCAAAGTCATTAAGTATTTGCACGATGAACATTTTCCTTGAAGTTTAAACCTACAGGTGCAAGGTGTGAATTGTCCAAGGATTAGGCCAGGTAATAGCCTCTTAATCCTTGGAAAATGCAGCCTAATCCAAAAAAAAATGGAACAATATTGATTTACACCACACTTCTTAATGATTACTTTAAAGTATTCAACCTCAGGATCAGTAACAAACAAATATGATATACAAATATTGAATGCTTCGAGTGGTGTAGTAAAACTAGCCTCCTGAGGTGATCCATGGACATTCGAGGGAAAATAGAATGCTTCATGGATCACCGAGGGAGACTAGTTTTACTACACCACGAGATGAGGCATTCAATATTTGTTTTATAACACTTTACCCACATATTCTGCTTATTTTTTAATATTTTTAATTATTTAAATCTGAACACAGTTAAAATAAACTTCTATTTCAATACAAAATTGGTGGGAAACGTAGTTCTCTCTTTCAAACCACCCCTTCACGAAATGTTTGAACCCAACTCTGTGACGTGCTCTCTTGGGAACAATACGCGCTACGCTCAACGCACACAGCAGCATGCATTTGCACACAAATGCCACACCATGGGCATAGTACTTTGGTTGCTAATGGTATAGTACTTTGGTTGCTACAGGTACAAGGGCGGATCCAGGGGGGGCCAAAGGGGGCCATGGCCCCCCCCCCCCAAAAAAAAACGAAACCAATTTTTTTTTTTTTTTTATGTGACATCGCAAAAAAGGCAGGCAATGAGTACACCACCATCTTTTCCTCCAAAAAACATTGGTTAAAGTGGTCAGAAATTGCCTCAGATCGCACCACAATGCATCTAGAATCCAAAAATTGTTTTGACCCACTTTTTTGGAGGACCAAAATTTTTTTTGGCCCCCTCCCCCAAAATTGTGTTCTGGATCCGCCCTTGTACAGGTATAGGGCTAGTACTTTTGGCTGTGCACTGAAAGATAGCAAAAATAAAAAGTACCATGTGACTCGCTCTAGGCCAATCAAGCCACAGAATCTGTAGGTGAGGTGTTATAAATTATAATATTTAATTGGTGATCTTAAGTACAGTAAAGTGGTTTGGTTTTAGACTAGGACTATACTGATTTTAACCGCTTCACAGAAAGTGGCACAAAATGGGTTTCTTGGCTTTGCCATTATTCAAACATATCTTTGGATTTACCAAAGCAATCTCAATGAAACAAATGGTATTCTCAAGCTAAATCTATTACCTTGAAAATTTTGGTTGTAAATTAGCAAAATGGAGGGGTTTCAAGCACCGTTTTATTTTCAGGACGCCCTGTAGATCTACACTCACAGCTGCTTTAAGCTAGGATTTATTCTGGGCGTGTCAAAATGGTCAAAACCCATATTTAATGGGGAACAAACATACGGTCGTATTTTCAATGAATTCCCGTACGAAATACAGCAAAATGGAACTAGTCTAGCAGGCTTGAATTCAGGTTGAACCTCGCCATAGCCACAATGTCAAAAATTAAAGATACAATTATCCATAGTTTATCCTCCTTTACAAATTCTCTCAGAAATCATTTATTAGTCCCTAGCCAGGAGGTCCCTTTGACCAAAACAGTTTAACTTTCTAGTTGCCTTGCCCATTCAAATACCTTGCTGCTTGTTTTTTTCTCAATTTTATAGTGCCTTTTGCATTATAATTCACTCGAATCTCTCTTTTACCGAATTTGTATTTTTTAATGCCCATTTGTGCTTTTAAAGTTTTAACTGCTTGTATAGTTCTATATTCTTATACTGTAAGCCATGTTTTAATAATGTCCATTTGTAATGTCCTTTTGTATTGTCTCTTCTTAAATTGTGGCATCAGGAGATTAACTCGATAGTAATTTAGTTTACTTTTTTAAAATCCATCAGGGGTGCTACTTTTTCTTCTTTTTGTCTTGTTCTCTCTCCTAACTGTATGTGCATGTTTTTGTTTTCTTTACTGTTCTTATTGTCTGTACTTGAATTTTTACCTGTGAAATTAATAAATGAAATGAAATGAAATGAAATGTCCCCCCCCCCCCCCCCCCCCCCGCATGAAGATCTTTTTTGTTCTGTGTTTTATCAATTTAAGTCCTACAGGAACAATTTGCACTCTCTCTAGAGCCAATGTAATTATATCGCCTGCTGTACTGCACTTCAAAGAGGAATACAACAAAGAAACAAATCTGTATTAATGGCAAAACCACTTCCTGGCTTGTGTGAATCCCAAGGCAGTGTTTTTTTTATGACTTAAAAACATGGAAATGCATTCAACAATTGGAGAAACTCTATAGCTCTGACTCATACTTTGAATATTATCCCTCTTAAAATGATCATTTTTGGATCCCCATGATGATTTTTTTGTGCTACCTTTCCATATTAAAAACTAGAAAAGACCAGACTTTATTTGTTTTAAAACATTCTTCTTCTTTTTTTGCGTTTGGCAACCCCCCCCCCCCCCCAATAGTCAGGTCGCTTAGACCCAATTTTTGACAAGATCGTGACCGACTGGTCCAAAGCACCAAACTTGGCAGATTGATTCTTATAGAAGGGGTGATGCCTGAAATTGTTTTGGGAAGGATGCCATAGTTGCATAAATCGTAAATACATGACTTGTAATGTATTTGTTCCCATATTATTTGGGAAGATTTTATCATTTTTCACATGATTTCCCATTTATTCTTGTTAGGGTAATTGTGCCAGTAAGTAACTTTGTGAATATGAAGCTTATCAATATTGACGTTTGGCAAGGCTACTTGATGATACCTGAGGAAAAGGTAAATGCGCGCAACTTTTGGGTATAATGGTAGCCATTTCTATTATGTCCTCATAATCATCTGGTCTCTGATATGCTTTAGAAAATGTTATTTCAAGGATATGTAAGTAGAATCCCCAAAATATACTTTTCAAAAAATAAAAATATTAAAATATACCCAAATATGGGAATAAACATATTACACGGCAGGTATTAACGATTTATGCAAATCAGGCACCCTTCCCAAAAGAAATTTAGGTGTCACCCCTTCTAAATAATTTCTTTAGGCCTATAAGAATCTATCTGCCAAGTTTGGACCATGTGCCACCTGACTAAAAAAAATATATATACCTACAATGTTCCCACTTATCTTTAAAATGTTTAAAAAATACTATATATACTAGTTTCATTTCAACAGGGTAGCCTTATTTACTTATTTGAACTTCTATTCTTAAGGGCCCTGAATACATAAAAAAAATATACAAAAAAAGTATCAATAAAAACATTAAATAAATTAAAATGCTTAAATAATAAAATGTAAATAGTTTAGAATTACTTAATTTTATAATTACCTGCAAATTTCTGATAGCATCGTCGAGATTGTTCCTCACATTGTCAAACTCCTTCTGCAACTGTTCCATATCCTTGTGTAACTGAATAGTCATAGCATGATCTGTGTGGAGATCCTTTTGCAGCTTGATACCCTGTATATGAAGTCATCAATATAATTCTACTATCAAACTGTCATCTACGGGTTGAGTAAAAAAAAAGCGGAACCCAAAGCCCCAAAAATTTATGTCATATTTAAAAAATAAGTAGCACCAAAATTAACAAAGGCCTGGAAAGCTAATTTCATACTAAACTACTTTTAGATAAATAAATTTACTGAAATTGCTCAATCTGTTCAAAGAATATCATCGTTTAAACGCAATGACCCTAAAACCTGTTTCGTCCAAAAAAGCAGTGTATTGTGTGTTCCGTTTAGAACAACAGGAAAACTAGACCTATGTTTGTTCGATGAACAGAACGTAGGCTTTTAAGAAATGTATTTGAAGCTTCATAAAAAATCATACAGAAATGGTCTGATTACGTCATTACGACGTCACACTTTGTAATTAGTTAAGTTCATAATATAAACAAATTACCCTAAAAGGCAAAAACGATTTAAGTGAGCAGATTTTGCTTGTCTGCATAAAGGTCATCATATTCCGCAAACTTTGCCACAATAATCAAGCGAAATTTATTTTTGACATTTTTTAACCTGCCGCCAGAGGGTGCTTGAATAATGCATGACGTCCACCCTTGCCACAGACTAACATCGTTGGAAGCAAGTTCACATCTTTTTCAACTCTTAAATTAAAAGGCACTTCTGGTTTGGACCGGAAGGGAGGGTCCCTTGATTTTGCACGTACAAGCACAAGTGAAAACCCTGGATTACTCTATCCATTCCCGTAAAAAGGTTTTAACCTAATCCTACTTCTTTAGATATAGGGTCTTAAAGTTTGCACATTTAAGATGACTTCACATGACCCTTGATGACGTAATCATGACGTCACTCTTTGGGACACAAACTCACTATTGGGTCTTTACATATATTAGTTTTCATTAGAATACGAGTTTGTTTAAGGTCCAAAATGGCCCGGTTAAAAACGTGTACAAAGTCTATGGGATTTGTGGTGGAACTTTAAGAAGAAAAACTAGAGCCATTTCTGTTCAAACAGAACATATGGCTTTTTCGCATTTAATAAGGGAATAAATGTGTGTTTGGGAGGTATTATAACACTCTGTTTAAAACCGGTTTGGGTCTGGATGAGCGATAATTACCCGAGGCAAAGCCGAGGGTAATTATCGCCCATCCAGACTCAAACCGGTCTTAAACAGAGTGTTTAATACCGACCGAACACACATTTATTCCCATTCATAAATACCTTTTCGGTCCAAAAATAAAAAATAAATGTCAAAAACTAGGCGTTGCCAACCATTTTGTTCAACAATTTTACATCATGTTTTATGAAACACCCCTCTGACTATAATATGGAATGCCCCTCCACAACTCGCTACCTTATAGGGACATTGGCGTGCGCGTCGCGCGTACTGCGCGATGTCGTGCTAAACGCAGCTGGGCTGGTGAAGTGTGAATTTTGGACCATGAAATACTGATTCACTGGTAGTACATTGCGCATGCATACGGGAGGAATTTGAACGTTCAACCAATGAAACGTTAAAAGGAACCGGATTTCATAGGAGTCCAAATTTCATGTGACACTGGAAAAGCGTTTAAGACCAGCTAGCCATGTCTTTATCATCCATTTAAGACCGGCCACGTGACGGGCTTTCGACCAATAGGAATCCATAAACTGTCTTAGGTATTTATGAATAAATGTAAATGTTATGTTTGACATTTTGCAGTCACTTTTTAGAATGTTTGATACAGTTAAAGGTTGCTAAAAATGCTTGGAATAATTTTTAACAGAGCTTTATCACAGGACGTCACATGCCCTGCTACGAGGTTATCTTGAAAACCCTTCTCAATGCACATTTTGTCATTGTGGCCTTGGTTTGAGCCAAGTTTAAAGTCAATCCAATGAAAGGAAGTGTGCAATTTAGGAAACAGAATATAATTATAAATATTTAAAAAAAATCATAAAAAATCAAATGATGACGTCATCGTGACGTCACTTCAGACTTTGCATACTAGTACCATTATCACCTACCCACCAAGTGTCATGACGATCGGACCTTTCATTAGATGTGTTTTGAAAAATTGCATTGTTGATGACCTCATGATGACGTCACACATTTTCAAAATTTTGTGCAAATACCTAAACAAACCAAATATGAAAAGAATTATGACTTTTGCACGTTGCGTTCATGAGAAATGGCTTAAAGGTCCGAAAATTTAAAAATTCATATAAAATCGCACTATGACGTCTTCATGACGTCACCTTGTTTTTTTTACCTATAACACATCCCAGTTTACACACAAACCGAGTTTCAACCCAAGCTGACTTGCAGTTCTGTAGATACAGGACTTCAAAATATGCACGTTTATTATGACGTCACATGACCCTTGATGACGTAATCATGACGTCACTCTTCGGGACACTACTTTGCTATAGGGCCTATGTCTATGCTGACTTTGAACAATGTATGATAAAGATGAATGCCAAAAGTGCTCCGAAAAAATCGTGTACAAAGTCTATGGGATTTTTGACGACAAAAAGAAAGAAAACTAGAGATTTGCGTTTGTTGTTACAAATGCAGAGTGGTCGGGTAGACAAGTATTTTATGAAACACTGTCCAGTTTAAGTTCTGAATATTTTTATGTAAAAACAAAGGATCACAAAATTAAATCCTTTCCAGGACTATCAATTCTTTTGTTTAAAAATGCATCTTTAACAGTGTGATAATTTTCAGTAAACATTCTATTGTACACATACAAGTTATTTCTGGCTTGATAACGTCATTATTCAAAAACGGGAAGTGAATACTGATTTAGTTCGGAGTGGATGTTCATTGTGAAGTTAAATAACGTATGAATATTTAAAGAGTATAAGTGTACCGGTATGTATTCATAACACTGAACTTCCGGTTTGATGACGTCACAGTATTTGGAAGCAAAAGGTTAACATTGTAACGGGAATCGTTATTTGGGCTAAGATATATGACATGGATCAAATGATAGAATTAAATTTAAAATATGATCGTTGGCAAATTCTCATAAAAGTAACTTCCGGTCTTTTGATGTCATAAATTTGAAACCTTGCCAAGTTATCTGTGGTTAATCAAAAAATATCAAGGGTAGATTTGGTCAAATTTGAACCTATGGTTTTAAAAGTAAAGAAAAGAAACAATATTTTATGTGCCGCTGGGGGCGCCCTTTCGGATGACGACGTCATCACACTGTTTTTGTGTCTGGCATTCCTCACTTAACACTTTCATAATATATGTGTCTGTCGTAAACTGCTTCCGCTTTTGAGCTATATTAAGTTTTTATTGCACTTCCGGTAACACCGAAAGTAAAGGTCAAGCGGTTTTGTGTCTGGGTCACGGCATAGTCTTCAACCTCACGAAAAAACACACACGATACTAAATTAATTCAGAAGATATAACGCAAACTATTTTTGTCAAAATTTGCCCTTAAATCGCTTGTAATTTGATACCTGATGACGTCATGATGACGTAACAAAATTTATAACATCTTCGTAATATGGTACAAGTTCACACAAGGTTTTCTGATCATACCGTGAACCGTTCGGAAGAAATGTTGCTTTGTTTTGATTTCAGGCTAACGTCTTCATTTTAAATTCACCTAACTTTGACCTTCCGGTAGACCCGGAAGTAAAGGTCAAGCGAGTTCATGTACACGACAAAAATGTTTAGCTATTAATGGTCTATCTGATTACAGAATACAAACATCATTGAATGTTTAGTTCAAGAGTAATAAGTGAAAATATTTGGTCACTTTTTCAGATAAAATCACTTGTAATTTGACATCTGATGACGTAGTCATGACGTCAGAGTAATATGCACCCATTCGGATGAGGGTCGATGTATATTGAAAGTTACAAGTTCATACCATATACCGTTTAAGAGAAAACCCGCGGAGAAGTATTGTCCGGGGAAAAAAAAAAAAGAAGGAAAGAAAGAAAGAAAGAAAGATTAATCGCAACAAATCCAAAGAGTGGTCGGGTTGTGCCCGATAACACTTTCATAATATATATGTGTGTAGTAAAATGCTTCCCCTTTTGAGTTATACTCGGTTTTTATTGCACTTCCGGTAACACCGGAAGTGAAGGTCAAGCGGTTTCGTGTCCGGGGACAAGAATTGTTTCTCACAGCATAGTCCTCACGAAAAAACGAACACGATACTATATTTAGTTAAAAAAATATAGCGCAAACTATTTCGTCAAAATTTGCGCTTAAATCACTTGTAATTTGATACCTGATGACGTCATGATGACGTAACAAAATCTATAGTATCTTCGTAACGTGGTACAAATTCACACTAGGTTTGATGATCATACTGTAAACTGTATAGAAGAAATTTTGCTTTGTTTTGATTTCAGGCTAAAGTCTTCATTTTGAATTCACCTAACTTTAACCTTCCGGTTGACCCGGAAGAAGGGGTCAAGTGAGTTCACGTACACGAAAAGAAATGTTCATCAATTCATGGTCTATCTTATTACAGAATATAAACATCACTGATTATTTTGTTCAAGAATTATGGGTGAAGGTAATTTGACCCTTTTTCAGCTAAAATCGCTTGTAATTTGACACCCGATGACGTCATCATGACGTCAGAGTAATATGCACCACTTCAGATGAAGATCGATATATTGAAAGTTACAAGTTCATACCGTATACCGTTTAGGAGAAAACCCGCGGAGAAGTATTGTCCGAAAAAAAAAAAAAAACATTTATTGTAACAGATCCAAAGAGTGGCCAGGTTGTGCCCGACCACTCAATGATGTTTGTTTTCTGTAATCAGATAGACCACTAATTGCTTAACATTCTTTGTGGTGTACGTGAACTCGCTTGACCTTTACTTCCGGGTCTACCGGAAGGTCTAAAATAGGTGAATTCAAAATGAAGACCGTTTACGGTATGATCACAAAACCTTGTGTGAACTTGTACCATGTTACGAAGATGTTACAAATTTTGTTACGGCATCATGACGTCATCAGGTATCAAATTACAAGCG